CCAGTTCATTGACTTGTATGTCTGAGCACCAGAGGAGATAGAGTAGGGGCAAATCACAAAAGAAGAGGTTGATATCTTTGGACCCACAGAAACTTAAGCGAAGTGTCAATGTTGTGTGTATCACAGCATCTACAATACCCACCAAGTAAACCACAGCCAGTAGTTGGTAGCACACTTTGCTGGACATGTCTACTGCATATAACAATGGGTTGCTGATTGCCTTGTATTGATCAAATGCCATCATTGCCAGCAGCATATACTCCACATCTGTAAAGATGCAGAAAATGAAGAACTGCAGAACACATCTAAGAAAAGGAATTGAATTGCTGCTCTTGGCAAGCAGTTCTACTAACATCTTAGGGCAAACAGCAGTGGAATAGCAGACATCACAGAAAGAGAGGTGGCTGAGGAAGAAATACATTGTCGTGTGAAGCTGCTGATCCACTCTGATCAGAATGATGATTCCATGGTTTTCACAAAGAGCAAGGAGATAAATATATAAAAATGTGGTAAATAAAATCACTTTGATCACAGGGTTATTGGTAATTCCCAAGAAAAGGAACTCAGTGGCTGAGCAGTTCCCAACCTCCATTCTTCTTTGTTTTGTAAACTGTTTCCAAATGATCAAGAGAATTATTGATTAGATATTCTTTTTTGCATGTTTGAGTATTATGTGTTATAATTTATTTCTAGAGTTATTTATCATCAAAAACATAGTCTTGGCTCTTTAAAAGAGGCAATATCATAAATATTTCTAACTTAAGTGGTCCCACTTATTTCATAATAAATACAGTTCAGCAAACTCATACTTCTTGACCACTTATCCATTATTATAGCATGATAGAACCAAACTTCAGGTCCACAATCAAAATAATATGAAAGAAATATCAGTGCAAGACTGAAAAGCCAGAAGATAAAAGAGGAAATATTTCATTGCTTGACAAAAATATCACATTTATTGTCTTATTCAGGAAATATTAATTTTAGTAGTTTTGGTGGTATTATATATAAATTAATGGGTAAAAATTTTTCTGATAATATTTATTGTCAATTTTTTACTAAAAAGTCAAATGAGCACCCATCACAGGGTGCTACTTTGATAATGAATTTTAAAATCTTATGATGTTTCATCTACTAGTGAAATATGCATCCCTCAGATTAGTACAGGAGACTGCTTTTTGAACATAACACCAGTAGCACAAACATTGAGATCAACAATTAATAAGTAGGACCTCCTGAAACTGAGAAGCTTCTGTAAAGCAAAGTACACAGTCAGCAAGACAAAATGCCAGCCCACAGAATGGGAAAGGATATTCATCATCCCCACATCTGACAGAGGGCTGATCACCAAAATATACAAATTAACTCAAGAAGATAGCAACCAAAACACCAAACAACACAATTAAAAGATGGAGTACAGAACTAAATAGAGGATTCTCAACAGAGGAATCCAAAATGGCTGAAAGACACTTGAGAAAGTGCTCTACATCCTTAACTATCAGGGAAATGCAACTCAAAACCACTCTGAGATACCATCTTACTCCTGTCAGAATGACTAAAATCAATAACACCAATGAGAATCTATGCTGGAGAGAATGTTGAGAAAGAGGAACTCTCCTCCATTGCTGGTGGGAGTGCAAACTTGTACAGCCACTTTGGAAAGCAGTATGGTGGTTTCTCAGGAAAATGGGAATCAGTCTACCACAAGATCCAGAAATTCCTCTCTTGGGCGTATACCCAAAGAATGCAAACTCATACAACAAGGACATATGTTCTACTCTGTTCATGGCAGCATTATTTGTAATAGTCATAACCTGGAAGCCATCTAGATGGCCCTCAAATGAAGAATGGATAGAGAAAATATGGTACATTTTACACAATGAAGTAGTACTACTCAGCAGAAAAAAACAATGGAATCATGAAATTCGCAGACAAATAGAAGGAACTAGAAGAAATCATCCTGAGTGAGGTAACCCAATCACAAAAAGATAAACATGGTATGTACTCATTTTTGATTTTTAGACATAGAGCAAAGGATCACTAGTCTACAGTCCACACTGCCAGAGGAGCTAGGAAAGAAGGAGGATCCCAAGAGAAAATTGCATAGTCCCTTGAAGAAGGGGATAGGGCCAAGAACCCCTGACCAAAGTGGGAGCCCAGGGGCATGGAGAGGAAGGAGAGCCTTCATCCTGTTGCTGTTTGAAGCAGAAACAGTCACCCACAGCTAAGCACTGAACCTTACTGCTGGAATTAAGTTGTGGAGAGGGAGGAGGGATGAGCAAAGGAGCCAAGACAGGGCTGGAGAGTCCTGCAGAAACAGTGTAACTGACCTACTAATAGCATGGATACCCTTGTTATAAAGCTTGGGAACCAGCATTGGACTAAACCAAGCCCTCTGAATGTGGGTGCCAGCTAGGAGGTCAAGACAATCTATGGGACCTCTAACAGTGAAGCCAGTCTTTATCCCTAGAGCACAAATGGACTTTGGGAGCACATTTCCTACGGAGGGATACTATTGTAGCCCAGATACAGTAAGGAGGGTCTAAGCCTTCCCCAAAAGGATATGACAGACTTTGAAGGTAAGTTGTGGGGGGCCTCACTATCCCTGGGGAGGAGTTGGGGAGTGGGTTGGTTGGGGTTGGTGGGGAACATGGGAGGATGAGAGGGCGAGGGAATGAGGGGGATTGATATGTTAATATGAGTAGTAATTAAAGAAAAAGATTAATATCTAAAACCTCTACAAACACACACACACACACACACACACACACACACACACACACACACAGACAAATTTTAGAAAGAAAATATCCTTGCACATTAGGTTGAGAATTACATTTAACTGAGCAAGGCTGCATGAAATTAATTTTCACCTTATTTAATAATGATTTTTCTATTTTTGCAATTTGAAAATATCTGTATATTCCATATTATTTAAATATAGTTACTTTAAAAATCCTATCTGTGAAGTTTTTGTCCATATCATTGTTATGTGAATTTATGTAGAAGGCATTTTATTTCTGCACAGTGACTGTTGGGATTTTCATCTGACGATACTCCTCTCTTTTAGTCATAAATGTCTAATTAGACTTTTGGTTGGAAATTTCCCCCTAATAATACTGCAGGCAGCTTATTAAATGTTGACATTTTATTAATTTCCCTTTGTTAACTGACTTAGTCATCATTGCTGATACACCAATTTTAGGTCAATAATAGGAAAGATACATAATGAAATCGCTTCCTACAACACAAAACATCTAATTTTCCAAACTTTCTTAACTTTTCAATGGGTTCTCTGGGTAGTAAAATAGTAACTCATAGAGACAGAATGAAACCCATTTATAAATAATATATATTTTGTCTTGTTTTATGTAAAAGAAAGTTGAAGTAGTGTTTTATTTGTGTGTGGGCAAATAGGCCATCTAATTTTATTCTTGTATGTAGTCATTCCAGAAGCAAGGATGAAAGAAGAGTTAGGCTCCTGAAATATAGCTACATCATTAATTTTGCTACCATAGTGTCTGGTAATATTGTGTTAGGATAATTCTCATATCAGTCACTGGTAGATATGAATGAATGAAATATTTTAGAGAAGTGCATGGAAATAACTAAGATAGATGGCAACTGTGATATATTACCAACTGCATTTCCTTTAGCTTATATTCAGTATAAATACTATAAAGTAGTTTCACAAAATGAAGTTTCAAATACTTGAATTCAGAGACATTATGCATACAACCAGATCAAAAATTGGGGTTGATATTTTTGTAGCTTATTTATTCAACATCCAATTCGTTTAAATTAGGGGCACATGAAGTTCAAATTATTTTTTAAATGCTGCATTAGAAAGACAGGTCAATTGCTTGAACATGTGCAAAGGTTAAATTTTTCTTTACATTTCAACATATTTCAAACAATACCTTCTGTCATGTTGAACATTTAACATGCCCTTTCCATAACCAATTGAACTAGATAATTCAGAAAAGTTTTCTAATGCTAAATACTGTGAATATAACTCAAAAGCAAAAACAGGAATGACTAGTAGATGCAGAAAATAATGTGGTTTTATGAATTAACTTGATTCACTACATAACACTTTTCTGTTTATATTTATCTCATAACACAATATTGTATACCTGAGATACACATAAAGAAATTTAAAACATGCTCTGGTGTTGGGAAGTGATTTGAGATAGTGTTGAAAGATTTGTTTTCAAGGTAATTCTAAATCTATCAAAATAGCAAGATAAAAGGTTCCACAAACCCTTTCTTATTCTTTCTTCTATTTTTTTTCATTGCTTCTTCTTCTTGTTTGTTATGGACATGTAGCTTTCTTGAGTAAATTACTCTTGACAAGACATTAAAATCTTAATGACATCTTTAAAGATCATTTGTAGTAGAAGGAAGCCTATGTGGAGGTTTCATAAATAAGGCATTGGCATTTCTATATGTCCCTTATTTTAATTGTTGCACTTTCTCTAATCAACACATGACTCACTATTATGGTCTTTATTTAATTGGATCCATTGCTGACATAGTCATTCATTGGTACTTCCTATGACATTATCTTGTGTTATGATGGCTGTATCACTTATGATTCAAATTTCTTTATATTAACATTTTATATTATTTCCTAAAATATTATTCCAGAAAAATAATTCTTATTTGAAACAGTAATTTTATTGCCTAATTTTATTAACTATATTTCAAAGACAATGATAAAATTATCTGAGAAGAAAATGGTAACTAATTAATATCTATATTAATACATAGTTTTAGAGGCTTTTGTTTCATGATTAGTTCAAATTTCTTGTTTTAATACTGTGAAAAATAGAGCACCATGATGGTGGAAACAGATTTGGGGCTGGGGTTAGCAATATTTATCAAATTGAATATGTACTTATGTTCTGCTTCCTAAGTATTGAAGCATTTCCAAAAGTGTTCATAGATAATACTTTTAACACACTGCTTTTTGGAGCATATTTAAGATTAACTGTAATCAAATAATGAAATATGATTCAAAAGAATAATTAAGTAGATTTCCTTGCACAAGAAATACATATGTTTTGGTATCTTTTGTATTAACAGTTCTCTGTTTACTAGAATCTCTCCTTTTAATTTAAGAGAGAGAGAGAGAGAGAGAGAGAGCACATCCTAGGTAAGTAAGGAGTTGGGGAATATCTTTAAGGAGTCAAGTGAGGGGAAAGAAGGTAATCAAAATATATTTCATAAGCATTTTTAAAATAAAATATGATAAATTTAAAAGACAGAAGAGTAAGTTTATATAGTAGGCTGTCCATTTCCTTTATAGTAATTTTATAGAACAATCCCTAAATATTTAAGCATAAAATAAATAGAGCAATTATAAAAATAAAAAAGTAAAATAAAATAAATAACACAGGGATTATTGAATATTTACATTTTTTTCTAAATTTAGCCATTATGTCAGTATTTTGCTGATCAAATGTTCATCATTTTCTTCATTATGTGTATTTTCAGGTAAGATGCACTTGAAATAGAAGGTACTGTCAGGACTTCACAACTAACACTGATTATCATAGAGGTACATCTACTCAGCACTTTACTTGAATATGAAACTTCTGTTACACAAACTCATAGAGTGAAACTCTACTCATAAAATTATTATCCTTTAATAATTTTAGAAAATAGTTGAAGAACAGAAAAACTTCTGTGATGGCCATTATGCTTAACATAACATTTTTAATTCACATGATCTTTTTCTTACTCATCATGGCAAATTATTAAAACATGTAAAACAATAAGTAACAAACGATACATACTTATACACTTTCAGGAATAAGAATAAATGAAAGAATAAACAATCAATCACACTAATATTCATAAAGCAAATGATTAAAAGAAGAAAAATACTATGTGCAGTGCAGTAACTTTTATTTTATACTTAAGTATGTAATCACTCTTAAATGTAAAAGAGGAACAAATGTTAAGTTTAACTGAAAACCCACTTTCAATGAATTAGTGACTTGAGAATCTAGTGGTTCGTGAATGGGGGTTCAGGATTCTACTACTTACTATTCATTTTCCTTGACATGTCAGCTCAAAGATTTAGTAATGTTAGTAACCTCAGGAATGATGAAAAATCTGAGGTTTATTTAATATGAACAATGCAACTGTATAAATTAAGATGATCCTGAAACTTCTTAAAAACTTCAAACAACTGCTTTCACATTCAAGTTCTTTGATACTTTAATAATTTTGAAATGATAATTACACAATTTGTATTCTTCTCTTTCCTCCACATGTATCCACTTTATTACTCAAATTCAGGGCATTTTTTACTTTAAATGTATATATATATATATATATATATATATATATATGTATATATATGTGTGTGTGTGTGTATGTGTATTAATGTATGTGTGTATATATGCATCTAAATACATGTATGCAATGTGTTCAATATATCTATTATAATTTGGAAATATTTGATGGATTAGTGTATTTTTGAAGTGTTATTAGGAAAGATAAAAATATTCTAAGGAAAACAATATTGTCAAAAATAGTGAAAGATGGTAAAATGTGAATAGAGGCAAAACATTGAAACAGGGTAGAAATGCTGTGCTATTAGTGTAGTGTCATGAGGATTTACTAGGTAGACAGGATGTGAGTCAATTTGTCTTTCAATATTCATATTTATGCAATATACATCGATAGATGTGCAGTATAATTATTATATTACAATATCTATGGATACTGCCAAGTGCATAGGTATTGCTTGAATTCTAATTAATGCACATTAACATATTTTTACATTCCCTCACGTAAATGTAGAAGTATTCCTCCATAACTTATTGTTAATAATTACTGTTCTATATAACATAGCTCAAAATATGCATATTTATGAATATGTAAATGAACACTTAGTAAACATTTCCTATTAAATTAATCCATGAGTAATAACCTTCTGTAATTTGTTTCTATCCCTGCAGATGAAAGGCAACCACATTAAATTTTTTTCTTGAGAAAATACTTTCCATAAACATAGATCACTGAAGACAGATGATTAACATAATGTACATACAACTGGTGTAAAAATTTCACAATATTTAAGAACAAAATAGTGGGTACATTCTCAAAGAAAGCATAGAAAGAGTTAAGATAGTCCTCTAAAAACTTCACCATAAAGAACATTTAAAGTAAATGGCTAACACTACACTTTAAACAATAACCTTTTCAGAGCAGCAATCAACTCCTTGTTCCTAAAGCTGTATATGAGAGGATTGAATATGGGAGTCACAATCGTATAGAACAGGGAGAGCAGTTTGTCAGTTCCTGGAGAGTGTATGGACATTGGCCTCAAGTCGGCAACTGTACCAGACCCATAAAACAAAATTACCACCAGCAAGTGAGAAGAACATGTGGAGAAGGCTTTTGCTCTCCCTTTGGCTGTTGGCAGACTCAGGATAGTGGCAATGATTTTACTATAGGATGTAAGCACCAGTATAAAGGGGAATGCAGCCACCACTGTAACAACCACATAGACAGACAGCTCATTCACTGAAGTGTCCCCACATGCCAGCTTGAGAATGGGTGGAATGTCACAGAAGAAATGGTCTATTTGGTTAGAATTGCAGAAATGCAGAGAGAATATCTGACATGTTTGTCCTATTTGTACTGGGATGCCACCGAGCCAGGAAAACACTGCCAGATGAGTGCACTTTGTTGGGTTCATGATCAGAATGTAGTGCAGAGGATTGCAAATGGCAACATAGCGGTCATAGGACATTACAGCCAGAAGAAAACATTCAGTAGTTCCAAAAATAAGGAAGAAGCACAGCTGGGTGGCACAGGACATCACTGAAATGCATCTGTTCTGCATCTCAATGTTGAACAGAATCCTGGGGATAGTAACTGACACATAACAGATTTCCAGAGAGGAAAAATGTGCCAGAAAAAAATACATGGGTTTCCTTAATGCAGGATCCATACTGGTTACTACTATTATGAGGAAATTTCCAATCAGGATAATTATGTAAACAATAAAGAAAACTGCAAATAGAAATCCTTGGAGGTTGGGAAGGTCAGAAAATCCTACCAGCACAAATTGCATCACTGTAGAAACATTGTCTATGTCCTTCAGCTCTTCATGTTTCACCTGTAGAAAATGTTAAATCACAAATAGATATCACTTCTGATTTTAGCCTATTTATTTTTGTGTATTATTTTCTGACAGCACACATTTGAGTTTTCTTGTTTTAATAATGAAATTTAAATTCCACTGTTCTAGAACTATAAGTAAATACATTTTCATAATTAATAAATGATCATATAGAAGGTGGTCTTTTATCTTTCTAAGATATAATTTATTACTTCTACATTGAAAAGATGTATTATTTGAAATGTATAATTCATTTATACATACAATATCTGAAAAATTCTATGCATTTGATATGTTTTTTCCAAGGTGTTTTCTAGGCTTGAGTTCTTTAAAACTACATAATTTCAATACAAAATATCTTAAAATATTTATTTGAAAATTGTTTTTCCTCCAATGTAGTTATATGAAACCAGTAGTGATAAATTTTGTTTAAACTTTAAATTGGGTAGTTGTATCTGGATTGTTTCAATCATTTAACTCTTCAATTATCTGGCTATCTGAAGACTTATTGTTCCATTCAGTATTGTCGTAGTGTGTGTGTGTGTGTGTGTGTGTGTGTGTGTGTGTGTGTGCGTGTGTGTGTGTGTCCATGCTAATGCTATTGTTGTTTCCTGGTTCCTCATGTCTAAATACTGCTTGAAAAATTAATTGTCACTACACTGTACCTACACTTTTTGTGTAACAAATAGCATATTTTTACAAAAATAATTTATTAACTTACTGGAAAAATGTTAACACATTAAAGTGCCTACTTGACAAGAATAAACCTCCAAACAAGCTCTTGTTCAATGCTGAAGTTCTCAACCATGCCAGTTTCACATTCAGCACATCTTACATATGTATCTGTGTTCATGGTCAGATGATGGTGGGAGTAATAATATGGGTGAATTATTTCCTTCCTATTCAATCAAGTACATGTAGTATATCATGTAATTAGCTTTTGTTATGTGATTTCTTTCATTCATATTATGTTGTGAATAATAAAAGCTAAGTAGTTCAATATAAGGAGAGACTTTATCACCATTTACTAACAGTCTAAGTCTGGTCAACGAAAAAGGATGGAAATTCAAAGACATATTAAATATACATTTATTTTTCTCTAATAGTTTAGAAAAATAGCAAATTACTTAAAATGTTCTGAGAATCCTGTTAGTACATCATAATTTTATTAGAAAATCCCGATAGAAATTGAAACAACCCTTCAATTTTGTCTCACAACAGTGACAGTAAAGACTAGCACAGGCTAGGGTACTGGGAGACATGGCGAGATGGAGGTAGATTGACAATGGGCATGAAGCTTTAGGTGGTTTAAGAAAAATCAAAATTCCATATTGCTATTGGAAAGTAGAGAAATTTATATTGTGTTTCTGGTTAAAAACATGTGACAAACTTGTTTCTCAATATAGTCACAATAAGAAAATATGCATCTTTGACAATTTAACCTGATTGTATCAGGGTAATATATCAATGCAGTATACCAGAATTCCATTCCAACAGAACTCATGATTAACTTATCAGATTAAAAAAAAAGAAGAAAAAGCAACATGACAAGTAGATGCCCTCATAGGTACTTTTATAACTGATATGCTAGATATCTACAATTTAGAGTTAGTAGTGACGTTTCTAGGAATGCTTTCAAGTCCATATTATGCTTTCTCTATACTGCTGCTAAGCACAGTAACCACTGTATATTCACATATGTGTTCCAATTTAATGCACAAAACAAAATAAAAACAAAGGAAGCCTTTTAATATGAGCATGATAGACTGTAAATTAATTTGGTAACACCCATTATCTAACTTACCTAATGGTATTTACAAACTCCTGCTTTTTGGAGAGTGTATTTACAGATTTGATATATGTAAAATCTTTGACTATCACCTAAACAGATGATTTCTTTAATGAGCATTGAGAGTTAAAAGACAATATTGGTGAAGATGTGATAGTATTTATTATATAAGCTTACTTTGCAATAGAACACTTTCCATGTCTTCCATGTGATTACCTAGTAATTACAATGAGAGATGTGTAAAGTCTAACTTAGTCAATGTTAAAAATTTAAGCATTAAAGATGATTCTAATTGCCTGTAATAAAATGTTTTCTAGTGTGTGTATACTTGTACAAGTAACCTTGTATTTGACAAAATACTTTCACACTTACCTATGTGATTCTATGCTCAGATTCATACTTACCATTATTATTTTCCCCAAAAATGAGAAAGGAAAAGAATGTTTTCAGCTCATCAAGTATATTTAAAACAGCTGCAAACTGCCTTTCAAATGTCTTAGATTATAAGTTAACTATATTCTTTAAGTAATGAGATTTACTACCCTAGGGATCAACTCTTTTCCCATGTGGCTTTATAATTGAGATATTAATTCTGTCTGAAACTCAGAGATGGATGTAGCAACCACAATAATACACAGACAGTTTATTTTAAGAATTTCATAATGTAGGTAATGCATTTTGATCATTTCTACTCTATAGTCCCTCTTCCCTAGTTTCTCCCCTTTTCCTGTCACAAACTTTTACTCGCCAAACCCAAATCCCCTCTATACTTATGGGTTTAGAGATATCTGCCTGATTACAGACAACCATTTTGGCACCATATCCCTGGATAAAATGTATCACTCATTCCCCAGCAGTTATTCCTTGCCAATAGTGTCTCAGATATGGTTGGGGATTTGTGAAGCCCTTTCTGTTTCACACTGACAGTTAAGTTGGATTGAACTTTTCCAAGTCTTGTACATGCAGTCCCAGCTGCTGTGAGTTAATTTTGCTACAGTCCTACTATGGCCAAAAAAGAGTAATTTGCTTCAGATGTGTACTTCGTCCAGTTCTTACAGTCTTTCTGCCATATATGTCCCTTATCCTTGAGAGATGTAGGTGTGACATAGGTTTCTCATTTAGTACTGAGTACTTCACATTCCTTATTTTATGTATGTTGCCATCTTTGGAAGTGTTTACTAATCACCATCCAATACAAGTTGGAGTTCCTATGATGATGGGACAGGAATTCATTAATCTAAATGATTTTGAGCCTCTAGTGTTTTGTAATTATCAGATAATATGGCCCTTAAAAATGGCAACATATTATGACATTATATGATTTAAGAATTAAGTTAGAAATTCGTTAAAATAATAACAAATATGCAATGTTTTAATATAAGATGAATTTTATTTTTCTACCATTGAAAGAAGAGGTATATGAGATTTAGGATTGTTCAGGCAGCTACGTGATCTTCAACCGTACTCATCCTTATTTATGTCTTGTGGTCAAATCAGTCCGCTTTACTCCCCACATTATAAAGTTGGGAAAGTGTGATGGGTGGTAATAATGTGCTAATTATGCCTTTTGTGTGTAAAAATAACAAACAGCATAGAAAATATCTATACACAATTTTTTGTGTAAATTTAGTCACAAAATCATAACAAATAGAAAGAGTTTCTTGAAAGGGCAATTTCTTGCTCACTGCTCCGCAGAGGACTGGAGAAGACAACTTCTGCCTTTAGCATCGCTGAGTTTATCAAATCTAAAGTTCCCGAAATTAGTGAACCACATAATTAAATCAGTGATCAAATAAAGTTAACTAGAGTGGTGCTTTCTCACTTAGTAATGATTATAAATTAAACAATGCATTTGTACAACCTCTATATAAACATAACTATAAATTAAATAGCTCAAAAACACAATGGAAGAGAATGCTTAATCCTGTCTAAGGAATATTTTATATAAATAAAATACTAGTTTGTAAATACAGAGACATATATATTAGAGAAGCATTCCACAAAACATTGAAAGTTATCAATATGTAAAATTATACATTTTTCCAATTTTGAGTTCTATCATTTGTGATTTACTTGTCGTAGCTACTGCCACTAAAATATACCTTTAATACTATAATAAATGGGGCTATACAGATTTTAATGTTTAATGATAGTAACCATATTTTATATTACACTTTTATACCTTTTGATTAGAGTATATATTCAACTACTTTGCATGTTTATATATTATGGATTTTCTTCTGTAACTAAGCATTTTGGGGAAATATTATGTGAAAATTCCCCTTGATAGATAATTAATTTTCAAATGTTTCCCACATTTTAAAAAGTGCCATTTCCAGAATCATTTATCTAAATTTTGCTGAAATACAGTTAAATCATTTCCTATTGCTGATTATACCTTACATAACACAGTTTACAATTTTTGCCTATTTGTCCTTATATAGAGGTCAAATTTTAATATTTAAGTATGTTGTCATTTTACTGTGCAATAGCATATGTTTGTGTCTTATGCAAATGTTTATTCTATTTTGTGTTACAATCTGTTGAAAATTATTCCTTCATTATGAAACAGAGATTCAAACAGAAGTATTACATTAAAAACATTTAAATGAGTTAATTTTCTTTATTTTTTTTTGCTTAACATCCCTTTCAACCAAATTTATACATATATTCAATGTACTGTGATCATATTAATACCATTTTTCAATCTTATCCCAAAAGCACCTGCTATTTTTATGCCATTCCTTAACTATTAAATTTACTTTGGCAGTCTCTCTGCACATGTACTGAAGGCCATTTGCTGAGCAGGGGCAATTTAGCAATGGCATCACCACTTCAAAAATAGACACAACCTTCAGCAAAACAAGTTGCAAATTTGGAAATCGACGATGGGATAAATGAAAATGTGTGGTTGTATTAATCGGTGTATAATTTCCCCAAGTAGAACAGTTCAATGGCTGAGTAATTTTAGTACCCCTTAATCAGGATTAAAAAATGAATATATATAATATAATATAATATAATATAATATAATATAATATATCCTGACTGTTTGACTGTTTGAACTTCAACAAATCTTGAAATAACTAATGTATTGTAATCACATTTAAATTTAGGGAATTCATTTTTGTAAACCTGAAGAGGCAGAGGAGTAGACATTTGGATTTTAGCTAAAAAATGAAAAAGAAGCAGCCGCAGCAGCAGCAGAGCA